AGCCAACATTTCAGAACCATGGTATGCTGATGCTCATGTTCAAGTTTTCAGATCAACAGATGCATGCTCAGTTAACAGACCCAAGCGAACTCTTTGTCTCATAATTCTTGAAGTGGCTGCTTTAATGTCATTCATCGATTCTACAGTCACAGCTTATACTAGTCCTTCTTTCATGGGACCAAAATATTTAACATGCAAATTTTCTTAATAATTTGGCTCAGAATAATTCCAAAGTCCTCCATAATCAGATAGATATTTATGAAAAGATTAAAACTAAATTGAATGCCTTAGAAGCTATTGTCATAAATATTGGTAATGAACTTTCCATTCTCGAGTTTAAGGAAAGGCTTAAATGTGATGCTGACTATAAATATGTCTGTGTCACTGCAGCCAAATATGATGCTTCTCAGTAGAATTGGAAAAGGTTAAAAAGCATCTAATGCATATATGGCATATCAATAATAATAGCCTGGATCTTATGGCATTACATCATCACATCCAGGATATTTAAAAAAGCAAAATTGATCTTATGGATCCTACATCTCTAGGTGATCAAATACTTCAAGTACAGAATGGTTTTAATCCTGGAAACATGCTGAAATATTCTGCATGGTATATTATTCGAATGATATGTTTGCTACTAATTCTCTTTTGTATTGTAATAATAGGTTGTTGTACCCTCAGAACAAGGATCTGGGAATCGAAACAACAACTCATAGTTTAAATTTGCAAAGTAAAAAAGGGGAGTATGCAGGAAGCCATCTGTGAAATACATGAGGGCTTCTCTTGGCATGGAAGTCAGGGAGGGAATAGGTCTAGCATTGGAATCTTCCCGTGGCTCTCCCATCGTGACAGACCACCCAATGCATGTGACCTTTCCCCTCCACTCTGCTAGAAAGTTCCCCCATATTTGCACCAGAGATGGGTGTAACTCATTAGGAACTGAGCAGCCTGCCTGCTCTCACTTATAACCTGTTTTGGTGAAGAACATTCTATAGAATTTTTTTGATGTCTTCTGATTAAATAAAGCAGACATGTGCTCCTTTGTGTATTAAAAGCTAGATCCGTCTGGTCAGCTTGCCTATCCTGCCTGTGCTTTGAAACTACTTTCTGTGTTCTGTGGTTATTTCACCATTTTATTTCTCTTAGTCTTTATTTCCCCGCCAGCCCATTCCACCAGAAGGAACCCCCTTTCCACAGCCTGTGCAGGACATGGGCGGTAACCAAGCATTCCAAGGGCTGAGGAAAACACAGAATGCAGCACCTGGACGGGGTGTGGAAGGTGGGCTGAATAGGGTGGCCCCTTCCCACTCGTAACCTGACCTTGAAAAGCTCCTCTGCAGCCAGGTTAAAAATACATTTCTGGAACTGGGGACACAGTCCTGTAACAAAATGCCTGAGACTACATTAAAAAAATAAATAAATAAACCTGGGCCTTGAAGTTAGGCAAAACCAAGAGCCAGTGAAGATTCATGGTGGTTAGAAATTCTGTAGAGGGCGCTATGGCTGTGTGAGAGACTGGTTCAGAGCCCCAATTCTCAATTTCTCTCTCCTTTTTTGTGGGGGTGGGCTATGGGGGTGCACTGGGGATTTAACCCTTTTAATATACCATTGAGATAGATCCACAGCCCTTTTTTATTTCTGATAAATGAGAGAAGATCCTGCTAAATTGCTGAGGCTGGCCTCGAATTTGAGGTCCTCCTGCTTCAACCTCCCAAGTCACTGGAATTACAGGTGAGCACACCATGCCTGGCTGAATCTCCTCTTAATTTGGATCTCACCCAGGAAAGATGTCCAGCTGCTGCCAGAATCGCTACAATCCCTGGGATGAGCACCTGTGGGACAAGAGTCAGTTGATAGTGTGAACCCTCCACCCCAGCCCAGATCCTCAAGGTCTTCACCTCCTATGGAAGCTGCCCATGGTGTCCTCAGCCCTTTGGACTATAGGAAGACCTTATATCTACCTATCCTGGAACATTGTTGGGTTCTACCTCGATTTATCATTATTTATGTGCCTACTTTATCTCTGTCCATACTGCAGGTTCCTTAAGGATTGGGTTCACTATTAAATATTCCCCATAAACTTTGACATATGGTAGGTGCCTTTCTGAATGGGAATCAGGAGGCCCTAGATTGAAGGCCAGAGGTACATTACTTCACACTCAATGAACTGATTGCTTTCTCTGGGTCTCAGTTTTGTCCTGTATAAAATGGGTTTGTAAAATCTACCTCAGAGAGTGGTTCTTAGGATTTACAACAAATGCTCCTTAGCTATAAATGCCTTCAGTAGTGGGAAGAGGAGTGGTATTGGAAGGTCTGGTGAGCTAGGACACGGTGGAGTGTGAAAGAATATGTTCACAAATGCTGTGATGTGGATTGTGAGATTTCCTTAGATCCAACCCCTGATTTTTTTTTCTTCTTGTGACTTTTCCCAAAGGAAGTCTACCCTCCCAGGAACTATTGCCTCTGCCAATAGTCACTGGCATATGCCTAGAGATCCAAATCCAACTACCTGAAGGATATGCTTACTCAAATATCTTGGTTGTAACTAAGATTCAGCCTACATCACATGACCTCATAATATTTCCCAAATTCATCTCCCTTAGATTTCCTCATCCTTATAATTGAAAAATGTCACCCACCAGGTCACCTAGGGTGAAAAATTCTAGTCCTTCTGCACTGAACTAGACCTCAAGTCTTCTTGAGTTTTCCTTCAGTGGCTTCTGAATCTATCAATCCTTTCTCTTTCTTCTCCCATTTAATTCCTAATTACATTCCATGTGGAAGATGTTCTCAGCCTCCCTACTAATTTCTTGTAGCTCTTTCCCTATGCCACTTCACACTTTATGCTACATGCCACCACCAGATTAAACTTATTCTTGCCAGGGTGCAATGGAGCATACCTGTGAACATAGCGGGTCAGGAGGCTGAGGCAGCAGGACTCAAGTTCAAGGCCAGGCTTGGCACCACAGGGAGACCTTATCTCAAAATACAAAATAAAGGGCTGGGGATGTAGCTCAGTAGTAGGGCATGTGGTTGGCATTCACAAGGCCCTGAGTCAATCCCAGTACACATGCACACACACACACACACACACACACACACACACAACACACACAGAACCAAAAAACAAAAACAA